TATGCTCAATCGAAAAGACATGACTAAATATTTTAAAAAATGTTTTGAAACTGACATTGATTTTTTGTAGGGTAATAATTTAATATGTCAAAAACAACTATCACCGGTAAAAAACAATTAACTGACAGAATATCTAATAATCTCAGTAAAAAGAGAGCCAGTTTAACTAAAACTCAAATCGAAGCCGTAATTAATGAATTATTAACCGAAACCAAAAAATCTCTTCTTAAAGGTGAAGAAGTCCGTTTACAAGGTTAGTTCTCCTTAAAAACTACTCTGACTAAACCCCGTTTAGCCATGAACTTACAAACTAAGAAAAAAATGACGGTTCCCAGTAAAAGAGTATCCAAGTGTAAGTTTAGTTTAGGTTTGAAAGAAGAGATTGCTAAGAAGAAGTAAACTCTTATAAGAGTTAAAAGAGTAAAACAAATTTATAGATGAAATCAAAGAAAAAGATTATTAATTATTCGGTTGGTCATTACCCTTGTAATGTGATTATTAATGGTCGCTGGTTTACCGAATTAGAAATTAGCCAATATTACCGGACTAAACCGGGACGCTCCACGGTTAGTGATGAAATAATTCAGGAATTAGTGAAGCAGTTGAATGATGAGGAAGATTTAGCAAGAGATAAAAAATATTACTCTTTTGAACCTTTATTCATCGACCATCGAGCTTATAATTTAGTTTGGGATTATGATGAAGAAGAAATAACAAGCACACTAATTATAATTGACTGTTATCGTGAAAGAAAATTTGATTTGTTAAGTAAATAAAAAAGATATGCCAAAAAAAGCTACTAATTTAAAAAATAAAACTAGTTATCGAGCCATTGATGTGGCCGAATTAGAAAGAATGCAGCAACTGGGTTATCGTCGGATAAATCAAGGTTTAACTCCCAACGCTACTCCCTTAGAAAAAAGTAAATATGAAATCTGCCAAAGCATTTTGCGTTACAAGAGAGAAAAAAACTTGTCCGAGCAAGAGTTAGGGGAAAAGTTGGGAATTAAGCAAGTCGACAAATTAGAGTATCTTTTATTTCGTCATATTAATTACTTTACTTTGGACGAATTAGTTGATTATGCCAGTGACTTGTTTACTCCTTTTCACTTAGCCATTCATGAGGAGCCAGTGAAAAAAAATGATTCTTCTCGTTCTAAAATTAATTCTATTCATTTAAGAAAAAATGCCTAAATAAGCAATACCGAATAGTTTTTATCTGAGAAAAAGGAAATGCTTACGAAGTAGAAATTATCGATTACCATCAAAATTAAGTTATCATAACTAGAAAACCCATTATCTATCATCCAGGAAAAATATTGAAGGAAGAATTTTTAATTCCCGCTCAAATTAGTTCTACTCAATTAGCTCGTGATATTAATGTTTCTTCCAAAGTAATTAAGGAAATAATTGCCGAAGAAAGAGACTTAAATAAAGATATTGCTACCCGCTTGGCCTTGTATTTTGGCACTGCCCCAACTTTTTGGATAAATTTGCAGAGCAATTATGATGAAGAACAAGATATTACTTTTATTCATAAGGGATAAAAACTTATTACTGTGTTATATTATAATTTTAAAAAGGATGTGAGTGGGTGGGGGGTTTTATTTGGGAGAAACTCCGACTTGGGCTTGGTATAGTTGTTCCTTTTTTAATAAGTCATCTAATTCTTTTTGTGCTTTAGTCAATTCTTTTTGAACTTGACAAAGGCTTTCTAACTCTTTTTTAGTTAATTTCCTTTCAAGCAATTCCTTTTCGGAAGTAGTTAGAGCTCCTTCTTGATCATGCAAAAACTTTTGGAGAAGGATTTCTCGTTCCTTGCCCCTTTTTTCCCTTTCCTCGGCAGACCATTTTTTACTTCTTAGTTTGTCTTTGGCAAAACCAATCAGTTCTTTTAAATGATTTTCTAATTTCTGGATTTGAATGCGAGTTTGCTGTTCTAGAATAATAAGACCTTCGCGCTCTTTGTTAAGTTTAAGTTTATCAAACTGTTCCTCTCATTCCTGTTCTAATTCATCTTTCAAGTTCTGAGTAAGCGATGTTATTGCTGCATCCATTTTTTCAAGACTTAAATATCTTTCTTTTCAAACGCCATCGTTAATGAGAATATCAAAGATTTCATATTTTTTATCAAACAGTTTCGCCTTCCCATCCCTGAGTCGTCTAGTTTTCAAGCCTAGAATATTGTTAACTTCTTCATTTTCTTGAATAAGATTAATTAAAGAGTCATAGGAATTGCTAAGTTGAACCAATTCCTTTTCATCTGTTAGAGAAACTTGGAACTCTTTATTGCCTTTTTCAGAAATTACTATTTTTGAAAAGTTGTTGCTGAATTTAATTGTTTCCCCTACTGCTTTAGGAATT